CCGACAACGTAACCCCCCCCCCAACCCTCTTCTCTTTCTCTCTTGTCTGGTGCAGGATGAAAACATCCCCTCCAGCAGGTAAGGGCCCCCCCCCTCGGGCTGCAGCGCCTTTAATACAAGCAACCCCTACCAGCCTCATTAAACAGAGGCCTGGCTCCTTCCCTCTGGCATTGGAAAGCCCCTTTCCCTGGGGACTCTGCCCAGACGCTCCGGAGGAGGGAACCGACAGCTAGAGGGGGTGGATGGACGGATGAGCACAGTCTGGCTGGCTGAAAGCCCCTGATGCAGACCCGCCTCTTGCCCTTTGGGGCTGCGGAGCTGTGCGGATCCTGGGCTGGGATCCCGGGAGCGGCGTCCGCCCTCCATGCTGGTGTGGCGTGGCGGGCGGAGCATTGCCCGGCCAAGTTGCCCTCACACATCCTTGGGGCAATCCACTGGCAGGCTGCAGGAGATTTTGTTTACAGTGACCGTTCATGGGCACAGCCCCACTCCAGCATCTCCTGGCCCCAGTTTGCTGTTCCTAGCCAATGAGAGCTGCAGGAAGCAGTGGCCGGAACCTCCCAGGGCCAGTGGGAGCTGTAGGGAAGTGGGGAGGGCATGCCCGTAGACAGTCACCATAAGTGAAATGTCTTGTGGCCCACCAGCGAATTCGGAGAGGAAGAGCTACCCAGCGACTTAACCCCAGACACTGCAGTTGTCGTAAGTGCACAGCAAGCAGCCCAGCATTAATAGCGGCACTGGCAGATGTGCTCAGATGTGCCGCCAGCACCACACAGCTCCCGACAGGTCCCCACACTGCAGTGCCTGGCTGAGCACAGCCCACTGCTGTAGCTCACTGTGCCTGGCTGAGCTTGTCTGACAGCCCTCATGGCTGGCTGTTCACAGTCAGCAGACAGCGTCCCCACCTCCATCCTGGTAGCAACAGTTGTTATGCAGGACACAGCAGGAAGCTATAACCACTGGGATATTTTTGTAGTGAGTAAGTAAACACCACCAGCACCCTTTCAGCCTACCTGTCCTTCTAGCCTTGCTGAGCTGGTAAATGAATCTTTCCTAGGGAGAGATTTGAGAGGAGTTGCAGAATACCTTCGCGTGTCATTGAGAGCTCCCCGGAAGATCCAAAGGGACAAATTGCTCCACCTAACTCTACAATGGAAAGCAGACAGGAACGGTAGCTCTCTTTGTAGTACCACTTCCTCTTCACCTAGGAGTCCATTATTGAAAATTACCTTCATCCTGCTAATTTGAGGGTTTCAACCTGTTCCCAAGGTTCCTTCCCTTGCCTTGGGCTCTCCTGCAGTTGGCTTCTAGGACTGACGAGGGAGCGCTGGAATCTCAAACCGGTCCTGTCGCATAGCATAAGTGGTCTTCCCAGTCACCCAGCCCCCATATGCCTCCTCTTCTGTCCCACCCCCCTCCTCCTCGCTGTTCACAGCAGAGGTCTGACTTGGGCTCCTATTCATTGTGGAGCTGGTCTGGAGAGCAGCACGGAGCCCGGTCGGGTCGCTGTCCCGAGGGAAGAAACACAGCCCAGGGGAGGAGGTAGCCGGGGCCGCGCTCCCAGTCTCCTGAGATCTCTAACTGCGCCTCTCTCGGTGCGTTGCAGATCAGACAGCAGGAAGCCCTCAGAAGCCCGCTCGCAGACACCGGAGCCATGCAACTGCTGGCTGCCCTGGCCGAGCAGCATCCAGCAGATACAGATGAATCATTACAGAGGTGAAGCAGGAGCAAGTCCTATCCCTCTCCCCCTCATCGATGTGGCTAGGCAGGGTTAGGGTCCTGCTGCACTGGAGCAAACTGGCTGCACTTTGCTGTCTGTGGCAATTTGCACCAGCTGTGGATCTGTCCCGAAGAGACTTTCAGGCAGAAGAAGGAAATGTGTGGGGATAGACTGAGTCACAATTTGGGGGCGGCGGTGGGGAGGGGAAGGTGATGACAGATCTGTAAAATCATGACCAGTGTGGAGAGAGTGAATCAGGAAGTGTTACTTACTCCTTCCCATAACAAAGAACCAGGGGTCACCCAGCAGGTTTAAAACCAACAAAAGGAAGTATTTCTCCACACAGTGCACAGTCAACCTGTGGAACTCCTTGCCAGGGGATGTTGTGCAAATCAAAACTATAACAGGATAAAAAAGATAGATACTGTCATGGAGAAAAGATCCAGCACTGGCTATTGGCCAAGATGAGCAGGGATGTAACCCCATGTTCTGGGTGCCCCTAGCCTCTGACAACTAGAAGCTAGGAATGGGTGACAGGAGAGAGATCACTTGATGATTCCCTGTTGTGTTCCCTTCCTCTGGGGCACCTGGCCTTGGTTACTGTAGACAGACAGGACACTGGGCTGGATGGGCCTTTGCTCTGACCCAGCCTGGCCGCTCTGATCCACCCTGCTTATCTCACCCGTGTCATTAAAACGGTCAGTGGGACAGATTTCAAGTCACTGCCAGCCGAGCCATTCTGGAATCGACATCTTGGGGGAAAGGCCCTGTGTCCCCAAGTCAGCCAGCCCCCTACCCCCACCCCCACCCAACCCTGGGGCCAGATTAGAGCTACACAACCCGGGAGAGAAAAGGCCCCGTGAGCCCCATGGTCTTTCTCCCTGGCGCCTAGTCAGAGCTGGCAGCCCCTTGAGATGAAAGCGCCCATGTCCCATTCCCCGCATTCCTTGAGTCAGCCAGTCACCCCACTCAGAAAACTCGTACTTAGTGGCATATTCATTTCTTTTAGTAATGTTTCCCTCCTTGCACTGGTCTGATCTTATCTCTTTCCCCAGCCCAGATCTACACACTCTATCTAATCTAACCCCATACACACCCTCTTTCTATCTATCTATCCCCCCCCACATCTATCTATCTATCTATCTATCTATCTATCTATCTATCTATCTATCTATCTATCTATCTATCTATCTATCTATCCCCACACACCCCATCTATCTATCTAATCTAATCTAATCTAATCTAATCTAATCTAATCTATCCTATCTATCTGTCTGTCCATCCATCCATCCCTCCCTCCCATCTTTTCTCCCGCCGCAGACCCATCCATCCACCCAGATTCTCTTCCTTTATTTTTCCAGTGGAGGTGACCCTGGATCCTAAAACAGCCAACCCTAAGCTCATCCTCTCCAGCGACAGGAGGAGCATGCAACTAGGAGATGAGCAAAAGGACCTGCCCAGCACGTGCGAGAGATTCGACACTGACCCTTGTGTGCTGGCCAGCGAGGGGTTCTCATCTGGGCAATATTACTGGGAAGTGGAGGTGGGGGACGCTGGTGGCTGGGCTGTGGGGGTGGCGAGCAAGTCAGTGAAGAGGAAGGGGCCTCTCTACCTCAAACCTGAGCATGGCTTCTGGACTGTGGAGTTGCACATGGGCAAATACTGGGCTCTCGGGACCTGCCTGGCCCGTGTGCACAGCAGCAAGAGGCTTCGCAGAGTTGGGATTTACCTGGACTGCACGGAAGGGCAGGTGGCCTTTTACAACGCTGACGCCTTTGCCCATCTCTACACTTTCACTGCCTCCTTCACGGAGGAAATCTTCCCCTTCTTCTACCTCAAGGACAAGAAGACCCCACTGGTCATTAATAGGTCTGCGTTGGAAGGGTGGCCTCCATTAATGGAACAGACCTTTCCCCAATAATTTGATTCCAGGGTGCCTTCCACTTCCCCCATTATGGACTGAGCACCGGCATATCGCTTGCATCTGCATTGCTGCCAAACATCCCATTGTAATGCCCTCACAGTGCTGCGTTCAGATTTTCCCCGGCTGAACCAGTGTCAATGTGAGCGGAAAGGAATGTTTCCGGTTTCAATGTAAAGCTTTTCATTTTTAATTTTTTTAAAAGTCCAGCTCCCAAGGAAATATTTGGATTTTATCAGATGACACATTGCGATGGAGTGCACCCATTTTAAAAAAATAGTTGTAAGAAATTTTAAATTTTTAAAAAATCATTCCTGTTTGGAGTGAAAGTGAATGCTGAAATGGCTGCATTTCCCATGACATGAAAATCCCAGTTCTGGCGTATAGAGCACTAGGCTCTTCTGGTTCCTAAGACTGGAGAGGTCCCATTTTTATGCCATGATGAGGGACAAAAACCTTTTTTTAAGTGAGGGGTGGGTGTCTTTTGCCATGGCAAGATCCTGGGAACTTGGGCTTTCCGGAGAACTGCCTGTTATCACAAGATGTGCCGAGAAATAGCCGGACTTGGCTCTGGCACCAGGATGAAAGATCCCAGTCTTGCTGTGGGCATGGTTTATATTTGATATACAATTATTTTTACAATGTCTCGCTGTTTACAATGTCGGGGGCTCGGCCGGCTTGCCCCGGGGCAATCGGCGGGAAGGAGGGATTCGTTCATAGGAGGGTTCCTCCAGGAAGACGCCCCACCAAAGCTGGTAACCGTAGCGACAGGCCAGGGTGTTGCCTGCGGTGGGGCTGGGATGCTGCCACGTCAAAGCATCCCTCCCTGGACCACCCCGCGTTGCCATGGCAACGGTCACCAGGGCCTTCGTTGCCATGGCAACTGTGGCTCGGGGCTGTGGGAAAAACGCCTCACGCTAAATCTACCCAGAAGTGAGCGGGGCCTTGTGACCCTTTTGACTGCTCATGTTGTCAATTAACGCCATCGTTATTTCTGTTACAATAATGGTTTCTTCCAGCTATCTCTCCCCCCTCTCACCCGGCTCACGATGGGACAGTCTCCCCTGGGATCTCTGATTGGCTGCGGAGCGCCACGTGGTACTGAA